GACAAGACGATCGCGGATTATTTAGTTTCGAAACGAGATGCAAAAGTGCCTGTTTTTGGCAAAAATATTGGCAGTATTTTGGATTTTGAAAAGCCTGTTGACTTTTGCCGTTTATCTGATTTTGGAAGGTTTTTTTAAACATTTGTTTCTTAATTAATTGGTTCCACATTGTTTGCTGATTTTTACTTTATTTAAACTGTGTAATTTATTTATTTTATTTGACATTAAGGTGTGCCTCCAAGCTTTCTTACTTGTTTTGCTAATAAACGTTCTACGTTTCTTATTTATTTGGTTATATATTATACATGTTTACGTGTTTCCAGTTTTGTATACCTATTTAAACTTTAATTAAGTTATTTGTTATTTTATATTAAGTATAGCCTTCCCTATAGCATGGTGTATTTTTATTTGTTTTGTTAATAAAAGTTCTATGTTTTATATATAGGCTAAAGTGAGTTTGACGTTGTTGCATTCAAGCAATTGACGCCGAACTGCCGCTAATTCGCACGGCGCTTTTAAGCTATTTAAAAGCGAAGGAAAGCGAGGAAAAGAGGGAAAATTCAAACGAACAATTGCTTTATTCTGAATTGCCGCAATTTGAAAGTGAAAGTAAAATGCGCACGCCGCTTTTACAAGCTATTTAAAAGCGAAGGAAAGAGGGAATGCCCCCGGGTGATACCGGTATTACCGGTGTTGTCACATGTCGATTAACCGGTGAGAAAATTTCCTCACTGTCACAACCCCTACTATGAGCACGCCATTCCCAAGGTGAGCATCTGATTTCCCTCTCGTTTCTGAGCGTCGAGTCCTCGGCTCCCTGGAGCTGAATGATGCAGCCATACCAGGTTGTTAGGCCATCTTTTGCCTCCCTGTTAGGCTGCTCTTATTGTTGAGCTTAGCAGTCCAAGAGATTAGCAGTGCTCCCCTCACTCTAGAGGGTCGCCTATGAGCACACCACTCCCAAGATGAGTGTCTGATTTCCCCTCTCATCACTTGAGAGTTGAGTCCTCCATTTTGTTGAGCTCCATGAGGTCTCTAGCCTCTTTGAACTCGGCCTGTGTTTGAGCCTGGCATTTGTTCCCTTCATTACAGGGTCACTTATGATCATGCTGCTTCCATCATGTGACTGCCCTTATGTTTGAGTTGGCGGTGCTCCTCTCAACTTGAGGGTCTCCTATGGGTATGCCACTCCAGGAGCTTAATCTAGGAATAGAGCCCCCTAGGTGCAAGAGGCTCCATGAGGCAGTCATGCCAGATCGCTAGGCCTCTTCATGGCCTCAACAATGGCATCAAGGGCTTTCTAAAACCCATATCTATGGTAAATGCACATGTTAGCATCCTGCACACTTTCTAAAATCCTTTATGGTAAGGGTCCCGTGCTGCCAGCATCGTACCCTTTCTCCGAGTTGATTCAGATGCCAGTTCTCGCCTTGGGCCCCATTCTTCATATGCATCTTTAGTGATACCATTAAAGTCTCCCATCTGATTGCGGAGGTATTTGCTTCCAGCTCGAGGCACCTGGTGAGAGATCCTACGAGAAGCACCCTGGGAGAATTAGGGGTAGATGTATTATTCCCCCGGGGTGACAGGCCAGGGTCTGGTAATATGGTGAACCTAGATGCCTGAACATATCCCCTTAAAGGGGTGGTTGATTGCGATTTCACTTTTTTAACGTTAGTGTGTAATGTTGCTGTTTGAGCATAAACGATATCTGCAAAGTTAGGAAGCTGAAAGTTCAATGCCAACGGAGATATTGTCTTTCCGTGATGTAGCAAACCCAGATAAACCCCGCCCTTGGGAAAAGGCAGCAAAGGGGGCGAGGCCATGTTGTGCTGCTTTAGAGAAGAGGAAGAGAAAACTAGAGATGCACATAAAAATCTATTCATATATGAATCACGATTCTGTCTTCTAACGATTCTAATGGATTCACAAGTTTCAAAATCAATGTTCTAAAGCAGCGGTTCTTAATACTGTTCCTCGTGTCCCCTGCTCTGCACACGCTCTCTCTCTCATTCAGCTCTAACAATGAACTGTTACAATTATACACTTATTTTCACATAGCTATGAGAAGCGTTGACATGGACGCGCGTGCAGTTGCTGTACTGTATTAAAGCTTTAATCAGGATAAAAACCGTATATTAAAAGCTAACATAAGCAGTAGCAGTTACAAATCACAGCTTATCTAAAAGTATGACACAACAACAAACAAAAAACATAGGCCTACCATTAAAAGCCGTGCTTGCACAGGTTCTGCACGATCCTCTTCAATAAAATCCTCTGCTTCTCAATCAGGCTCATATATAGGCGATATTAACAACGCCGTTGTTTACAATACAACCGGAGAACATGCCGCTGAGGTGAGGGGCGGGACTTTTAGACACGCACTAGAGACGGTTGAGCCAATCACAACACACTGGGCTAGCTAACCAATCAGAGCATATCGCCTATTTCTGAGGGCAGGACTTCATAAAAGCTGTAAATGATCAGCGTGTTTCTCAGAGAAGGGACAGAGCGGTGTGGAATAAAGGTAAATTGTGTGAAAAAAATAATGTTTTTTTTTTTTAAACTAAGCATTAACACATGTTAGACTGCACCCCATAAACACAATCAAGCCTTGAAAAAAAACAGTGAAGCACCTCTTTAAAGGAATCACATTGCTATCTGATTCCAAGCCTTTGAGCCCTGCTCTGGAACCGGGCTTCTTTAGGCCAGCCCTTAACAGGTAAGTTAATTTGGGTATGTAGCTCAGGCCTTTGGCTGAAGGGGATACTGTCTCTGACAGCTGCATGTGTGTCCAAGGGGCAACTCCCATGGCCATGGTAGAGTTGGAACTTAGTGCTCCTCATGGTGCTTGGCATGCGTATTTCGTTCCCCATAGTAACCACTAGACAGGGCTCTAGACTAACTTTTTGCACTGGTTGCACTGGTGCGCCTAACTTTTTTTCTTAGGTGCACCAGCACAAAAGTTAGGTGCACCCAAATTTTATCGCATCGCATTTAACACCGCAGTTTTACAAGTTCTAGTCTTACCTGTGAGGCATACAGTGGAACGGCACAATGTGGTCACCTGCCTCTTGCTGCAGAAGGGCTATGACACCCCCTTTGCTGCCCAAATTAACAGCAGCACCATCAGCACCCAGAGCAATGATTTTCTCCAGCCAGTTACTGCACTGGTCCCCAAGAGCAGCAAATGCTTTCTTTGAGGCAGCATAAATTCCTAATTAAACAAATAAAAATGATAATACCATTTACTTCCCAGATAAAGAGTTTATAATGCAATCTATTATTATT